GGAGGGGCAGGGCCGCTCGTCGCACGGGCGCTTTGCCTGAAACGGGCATCCTGGCTTCTGGCAAGTGGCTTTGTCCTTCCCCTTCCTGCGGGCCTGCCAGGGTGGGAGGGCGTCGCTTGTTCCTCTTTCTGCCCTGGCCGTGCAGGAAGCACCTTTCCTCCAGAAGGCAGCGATGCTGCGCACAGCTGGGCCGCTCTGCCCTGGGCAGAACAGAACCCCCCGACGTGATCAGCGCGTCTCCGTACCGCCTCCGCCCGGGGCTTGTCCTGGATGTCGCGCTGCGTCGCACCCCCCAGGTGCATGGAAAGGAGCACGCCAGCAAACACCGTCCCCCGCCTAGCGCCACCCGCCTGGGCCCGCTGTGTTCTCTGCCCCACGTGCCCCGCCCCGGAGGTCCCCTGGATCCCAGGACGGCTCCCACCATGTCACCGTGGGCTCATCAGAGTCACCGGGCAGCACCCGGTCACATGCCGCTCGCCGTCCTTGCTCCGCTGGCCCTGCTGTGCTTGATGCTGGCTGGGCTAGCGCTGATCTAGGCGTGGGAGGGTGATACCTGGCTCCAAGGGCTCCCCCCGCCCAGTGGCAGGCGGGGAGACTCCAGCTGCTGAGCTGCGCCCACCTAGGTGTCATTAGGCCGTACAGGATGCCGGTCGGTGCTCTGTATAGGCTGCATCGGGCACATGCCTGCTGTTTGTGGGTAGCCAAGAGTCAGAACGGCCAGACTGGGTCAGAGCAAAGGCCCATTCAGCCCAGTCCTGTCTGCCCACAGTGGCCAGCGCCAGGTGCCCCAGAGGGAGGGAACAGAACCGGAAATCATCAAGTTGCCCATTCCAAGCCTGGCAAAACAGAGACTAACGCCATCCCTGCACATCCTGGCTAATAGCCATTGGTGGCCCTGTCCTGCATGAATGTATCCAGTTCTCTTTTGAACCCTGTTATAGTCTTGGCCTTCACAGCATCCTCTGGCAAGGAGTTCCACAGGTTGACTGTGTGTTGTGTGAAGAAATGCTCCTTTTTGTTCATTTTTAAACTGGATGCCTATTAATTTTATGTGGTGACCCCATAGTTCCTATATTCTGAGGAGTAAATAGCACTTCCTTCTCCACTGTCGCGCCACCAATGCTGCTTTTATAGACCTCGGTCATAGCCCTGCTGAGTCATCTCTTTTTCCTTTGCCCCGAGGCCTGGAATTCTCTCCGACGGGACGTTTCCCTGGCGCCAACTTGGCACTGTTTTGGCACCAGGCCAGCGCCACCCTTTTGACGTGCGCTTTTATTGATGTGTGTCCCTCCTCTGGAGGTGTTTTAGCAGGTTTTAATCTCTCCCCTCTTCCCCCCCCCACACACTTTGATGCCTTGTGTTTTACTTTATATACATTATTTATTGCGTTTTTAAAAATTGTGTAAGCT